TTGAAAATGCATAATTTAAAAAGTATTCTATAGTTTTTTTTTATTCCTCGCGGACGGAGTTTCGTGCAAAAGTTAGTATTGAATAAGTAAATCAAAAGAGCGTGGTATTATTTCTTTATTGCCACTGCTTACCTTCAGTTTTAAGTGAATCGAACTGTTCAGTTAGAACTTTGGAGGCCTAAATTTCAACTGGACAACGCAACTGACAGTTACCATTTTGTCTGCACACGCACAGATTAAAATGTACTCAACTGGACCTATGGAGTGGGCTTTACCAACGCATGCCCATCTATACTCATATAATAAAGAGTAAACACACACTACTTAGTGGCGTAGGATGTCAGCAATCACAGCATTTCGAATAATACTTTCTTGAATAAAAAGTCTTATACTTGCAACTCGCGTTAAGCTATACATTTTCATGCTATCAAACTAAGGGTAAATAATTGAAAAAAAACGTCGATGTGGGAAGATCATAAACTAGAATCTGCCAACATTAAGGAGTCAAGGTTGCCATGGTAACGATAATTTGTAACAAATGTAAAAGCCCTTCGTTGTCATTTGTGCATTGGATTTTTGACATTTGATAAGTGTAAACAATAAAATAAAGATTTTGTAATTTCATGCGGATGAAGCCGCACGGGAACAGCTAGTTTTTACAAATCTCTGTCCTGCACGAATGGGGGGGGGGGGTCACTTCTCGTCAAACCATTAAAAATAACAGTTTATCAGTGGTAGAGCCCGCTTTAACATCTTCGCACGAATGGGCCGGTGTAATACCACGACCACACAGAAAACAGGCGTCAAGTTGAAGCAATTCCGCGTTTCGTCTGATGAGTGTGGTGCAGGAGGCCTAATTTTAGTCCCTTTCAATTTCCACTCTTTTCTTGAGAGGAAAAGATGGGAAGTAAAAGTGGAGGAGACGCATAGGAAGGGGAAATGTCCTCTTTATGTTCGTCTCCTCCGTCCATTAATAGTAGGCAACGCATCTGCAATTGTGGATGTTTATGTACAGCGGTCGCTCTCCATTTCGGTGGATTCAGGCCGCTTGCTCGTTTGCCACCTTATATTATAAAAAAAAAGCGAACGCTTTTGAAATCCTTCCATTTTTTGAACCGTTAAATCGCCACTTTAGGTAATTCACTTTTAAACGACTTCTGGTCATCAGACCTCCAGCTCTCTCCCTTTTGTGCCATACTTTTTATAAACGGGCATTTTGTATAAAAGCAGAAAGCTTATTTGAGCTGCAACTTAGTGTCGCACTTATCGCGTGCCTTAATCAAGTAAGTTGTACTTATATTTTCCAAAAGATAACTTAATCAGACTTACATTTATCGAACAATTGTCAGTTACGTGTCTATCAGCATAAATAATCTATACAAATATTATAAATGCGAAAGTTTAGATGGATGTTTGTTAGAGTTTGTAGCCTAAACTGCTGAACGGATATCCATTAAATTCGGCACAGATGTAGAGCATAGTCTGGAAAAACACTTAGGCTACTTTTTATTCCGAAAATAGTTACGATTCCCGTGGGATACATTAATTTTGTATTTAAATGTTTACTCGATAATTCTGCAATGGATTAACGTATCTTATTGAAATTTGGCACAGATATAAAACAAAGTCTAGAGTACACATGGGATAAGGTTCATCTCTGAAAAACGCCCGGTTCTCTGAAAATTATTTTATTGTTCACATTTGTCAAATTATCAAAAACTTTGCTTCCTTAATGTCGGCAACAACTTTGGTCTCTTTCCCACATTAGGCTTTTTATCCAAAATATTTACCCTAAGTTTAACGCCGTGAAAATATATAGCCTAAAGCGTGACGTAAGTGTAGGGCTTTTTATTAAAAAAAGAGTTATTCGAAAATATGCTGTAATTGCTGACATCTTAGGCGACAAAGAAGTGTGTGTTTACGCTTTATTATATTAATATAGACTTACATACTACGCGGACGAAGTCGCGGGCAACAGCTAGTCATACCATAATACTGTAAAGTGCTAATGTTTGTTTGTAACAAATAAATACGAAACTACGGGACCGGTTTCAATATTTTTTTCATTTTCACGAGCGACGGAAACACAGAGGTGGTCAATGACGACCATGGACATCGGCAACACCAGAGGAACTATAGATACGTTGCGGCCTTTGAAGCCTTTGTTATTACAATACATATAAAAATACAAATCTTTCCTCTTTATAATAATAGTATAGCAATATAGATAGAAGATTGCCGAAGAAACTAAAAAGTCCATTAATTTAAAAAAAAATGTCGTGAACCAGGCGAGTCCGGGACGCGAAGCTAGTGTAGTAATGATATCTTTCCTTCAGCAGTAATGATAGTTATTTCGATGACGAACAAACTGATATAGGATTAATAGATAATATAAAAAAATGATTAAATAACACTAATTATTTTAATCGCATTATCGTAATACTTTTGGAATAATATAAATTATAAAAAACTGAAAATAAGTTTATAATTGATAATGAATTTTAAGGTGACACCACACGAACGCACCGCGTCCGCACCGCCGACGCACCGCCACCGCACCGCCGCCGTACCGCCACGCGGCGTTAAAAATTCACTAAACTTTAACTTTTCTGGGCATTCGCTGCTTAGAGGTTTAAGAGGTATATAAAAATGATGTATGAAGGAATTGTAGATCTCAAAAAGTTCTACAGAAAAGTACGCGATAGCATATATATGTATTTAACGTTTTTCCTACAATAACCTTTTTTTTTTGTTTACAAAATGAATTAAAAACCGGCCGCTTCTTTTATTGATTTCAATATTAATCCTTATCCAAATAAATGCGTTTGTTATCAGGAGAATTTAATGTAAAATAAAATTGTCTTTTTTAGTATTTAAATCGGACTAATAGTTTAGAAGATATCGCGAACACAAACAATAAGGTTAACCGAAAAATCAGCTTATACCTACCGGGCTTAGAAATTTTGAATCTTGCATCGGTAGATTTCTGTCATTACGTAGATACGAAGTTATTACTTTTGGTAATAGGTTGAAAAAAGGGACAAACGTAAGTTTTGGACTTTCAAATTTCACGCGGACGAATTCGCGGGCAACAGCTAGTACTTAATAATAAGAAGAAATGTACAAGAGATCTTTATCTGGACGTTTTTCGTACTGTCTCATGTAAAAGCTGCAATATCGTTATTATCTGCGGCGCGCCGTCCAGAAACACGCTGTTTATTAATAAACAGGATGTTTCTACTCATATTTCTTCCTAAACATTAGTAATATAAAATAATAAGTTACTCATAGATAAATTACCTTCCTGATGATGAAAGAATTCTTAAAATCGGCCCAGTGGTTTTTGAGTTATTACAATACATACAAAAATACAAATCTTTACTCTTTATAATATTAAGGTAAATAATAATATAGTAATAGTAAATGGTAATAGTATATAGTAAAAGTATAATAGTATAATAGTATAGAAGTATAGATGAGTTATTTGCCATTCCCGCACGGCGCAGGCGCGGCGGCGCGGTGCCGCACATGTGGCAGAGCATTTACTCCGTTTACATAACAATTTATCTAAACTAATTAACTAAGATACCTAATGACATTGAAGCCAACGATTTATAGATACAATATATGTATACGCTGTTATATTTGCATCATTATATAAGTCATGTCATAAGAATATTATAAATGCGAAAGTTACGATGGATGGATGTTTGTTAGCGTTTTATAGCTGATAGGCTGAACAGATTTCCATGAAATTTGGCACGGTTTTAGAGTATAATCTGGAAAAACACATAGGTTACTTTTTATCCCGGGAATAGTTACGGTTCCCGTGGGATTCATTAATTTAGTTTTTTTAATGTTTACACGATCATTCTGCAACGGTTCAACATATCTTATTGAAATTTGGCACAGATATAAAACAAAGGAGAACACATGGGATAAGGTTCATCCCCGAGAAATGTCCGGTTCCCAAGAGATACGTATCTTTTGTTATTTATATAGTTCGTATGTTTTTTAACACCACGCGAACGAAGTCGCGGGCAACAGCTAGTATCATCAAAATTTAGAGATGATCATTTTATCTTTTTATCATAAAGGGGCCCATTAGGTTATGGTCCTTTAAGTATCCTTTCTGTTATTTCAGTCGTCACACATTTCTCATGCCTCCCTATATCTATTGCTGTACCCCATTCGATAGGTGTCGTCCATGCTCTAGAAAAGCAGCAGCTTTTTTATACAATAAGCTGGCAAACGAGCAAACGGCCACCTGAAACCGCCGAAATGGTAAAGCGACAGCCCATAGACATCCGCAATTGTCGAAGCGTCGCCTACCTTTAATTGACAAGGGAAACGCACATAAAGAGGATATTTCCCCTTCCTACGAGTATGCGTCTCCTCTATAGTCATATTCACTTTTCCTTCTCATGCTTTCCTCTTAAGAAAGGGTGTGACAGGGAAAAGAAATAAAATTTTGGCTCCGGCACCAAACTCAACAGAACTTGAGCTTAACTTACTAGCTTAACTTTCTAAAGTCCAGTCAAAATCAGTTCAGCCGCTTCGTCGGTTATCCGGAATTATTGCGGCTTGCGAACAGACAGACAAAACAATTTTAAATGCGATTATCGTTATCAGCAACACAAACACATTATCTTCGCGAAATTGGGATGCCTTACGATTTTATTATAATTTTTAGATTAGATATAGACACTTGGTTACTGTTAGCATTGGTTAAAACGCACAGATTGCGTCAGATTTTAGGGTGGTTGCTGACAGAATCATTGCAATATCACCTTGATGAATAGAACCCACGAGAGGTTTAAATCTTTACGTTATAACAATTATATGAGAATTGAAATTAAGAAGAAAAGTTCAATCTCGTTAGATAATTAAATCTTATCTTCATACAATGGTAATCCACTTTATAATCTTATTAATTACAATAATCGTTATCATGTATTATAAAAGCTGTGAATGAACATTAGAACACATCTAGTAACAACATGAAGCTGTGTCTTGTCGCCCTGTCCTGTCTGCTGTTGGCCGCCAACGCTCGCGTCCTCGACCAGTACGAGGAAATCGAGCTCGACTACCACGAGAATGTCGGCATCCCTAAAGCGGAAGCCATCCGCCAAGCGGAGCTCGCCGCGGACTTCGATGGCAGCAGGATCGTAGGCGGCTCCACCGTCAACGGCCTCGGAGAGTGGCCCTTCATGGTGAACTTTTTCTTCTTCTTTTTTTATATCTTTAATACAAACCACGTAAGTCTTGGTGGCCAGTATGCAACACTATTAGCTATATTCACACTTCTGAGCCAAAGAAGTTATATTTTGCACTGAACACTTATATTCACCAGTAGAAGGAGAATGTAGGCAAAAAAAGGGATATAAAGTTTGGTGAGAGTCTGTGAATTGTTGGATAATTTTAAGAAGACATGATAAATTGGAACTCATAACTGTATCATTACTATGATATTGGGAAGCTAAGCTTTAGTTCCTTGCGCCTAACCATCGCACGTGTTTGAAACTTCTATGTATATAGGGTGGTCTTATCATCGCGTTGACTGACGGACGCACATCAGCCTGTGGTTCTTCCCTCCTGTCTGCGACCAAGCTGGTGACCGCCGCCCACTGCTGGCGTACGCGCAACACACAGGCTCGTCAGTTCACCGTCGTACTCGGATCACTGCGTCTCTTCTCCGGCGGCACCCGCGTCAACACCAACAGCGTAGAGATGCACGGCAGCTATAATATGAACAACTTGGCTAACGACATCGCTATCATTACCATCAACAGAGTCAATCTCAACAGTAAGTGTCTTACAATAATTATCACAGCATCTTTGAAATAGTTTCCACAATTGGCAAGATCATCCTAATTCATAGTTCAAGTAAGACTATATTATCTGGACAGGCAATGATCTATTGTGGGCATAGGGCACAGGAGTTTGTTGCAAAAGTTTTTTTTTGGAAGCAAGCGGCCACCTGAGTCAAGCAAACTGGAGAAGCGACCGCTACCCAACATCCGCAATTACAGATGCGTTGCTAATCGACGAAGGAGGAGACGCACATAAAGAGAATGTTTTTCTTTCCTATGCGTGTTCCACCGTTAAATCCACGTTTCACATCCCGTTCAAGAGAAAGGGTGGGAAGGAAAAGGAATTATAATTGCTCCCACTTCACACCTATCTTATGTGTGGTTGTGGTATAACACTGGGCGAGCTGGCCCTTTCTTGCAAAGATGTTAAAGCGTATTCTTAAAGTATGACAATTCCATGGACACTAGAAGAATGTGTAAGCTACTTGAGTCAAACTAGATGACATTATTTAAAAAAATGTTTCACAGACAACATCAACACGGTAACTCCTGCTTCCGGCAATAACAACTACGCCGGTGCTTGGGCGCGCGCCGCCGGCTTCGGACTCACCAGTGACGGTAAGATTAATATAAATTTTATTCATCATCATCATCCACTTGCCCTTATCCCTTATGGAGGGTCGGCACAGTATGTGCTGCTCTTCCATACATCTCTATCAGCCGTCATATCTGAATCCACTCCTTTCTTAAGCATATCTTCCTTCACACAATCCATCCATACTTTCTTCGGTCTTCCTCTTCCTTTGTAGCCATCCACATTCAATCTCAACACTTTCTGGTTTATGTCCTCATCATTTCGTCGCATAATATGTCCATACCACGCTAACCTTTTGCTTCTCAATTTCTCCACCACTGGCGCTACTTTCAAACTTCCTCTAATGTACACATTCTTAACTTTATCCAATCTTGTCACACCACACATCCATCTTAACATACGCATCTCAGCCACATGCAATCTCCTTTCATCCGCAACTTTGGTGGCCCAGCATTCAGATCCATACAATACGACAGGTCTTATGATGGACTTGTAGATCTGTCCCTTAAGCCTAAGAGGCATTCTTGGATCACAAGTCACACCAGTAACCTGTCGCCATTTCATCCAACCTGCATTTATTCGGCTTTTTACGTCTCGGTCAACGCCACCGTCGGACTGGACTAGAGAACCGAGGTACTTAAAGTCGGAGCAGGTTGGTAGAGGCACACCATTTAAGGCGATTGGAGAGAAGCTGGTCGGACCGCCAAAATCGCAAAACAAATGTTCAGTTTTGGTCCTGCTGATTTTAAGACCAGCTCCCTCCAATTTAACCCGCCATTCTTCCAACCTGCTCTGTACCTCGCATTCATCCTCCCCGACAAGCACGATGTCATCGGCATAAAGCATACACCAGGGTGCCTCCTCCTGTATGTTTAATGTCAAAGCATCCATAACCAGGAGGAACAGATACGGGCTTAAAGCCGACCCCTGGTGTAAACCCACCGAGACACCGAACCTGTCACTATCGCCAGCAGCGGACCGGACGTATGTACTGGCTCGCCAGTACATGGCCTGAATAAGCTGCAGGTATTTCCCAGGCACTCCTTTTACTTTCAAAGCCCACCACAAAACATCCCTCGGAACCCTATCATACGCCTTTTCGAGGTCTACGAACACCATGTGCAGGTTCTTATGCACACGCCTAAATTTTTCGCACAGCTGGCGAATGGCAAAAATGGCGTCCGTAGTCCCCCGACCTGGCGTAAATCCGAATTGGTTCCGAGATACCTCACTTTCTTCTCTGATTCTTGCATCTACCACTCTTTCCCAAGCTTTCATACTGTGTGACATGAGCTTTATTCCTCTATAGTTGTTACAGTCCTGCACATCCCTCTTATTCTTATAAATGGGTACCAGCTCGCTACCGCACCACTCGTCTGGAATTACCTCTTCCTGTAACAACTTATTGAAGAATAAAGTCAGCCACACCCATCCATCCGACTTTAGCAGCTTCCATACTTCCACTGGTATTCCATCCGGCCCAACGGCCTTTCCGTTCTTCATACCTTGCACTGCTTTCTTTACCTCATCCACACTAATCTCTTTCACTATACCAATATTAATAGGTATGTTTTCCAACACCCCACTCCAAACATTCTCTTCGTTCATCAGTTTTTCAAAATATCCCTTCCATCGCTTTTTAATGGAAAAATTAAAAAATTAATTCATAAATTTTATTATTACCAGAAACTAGAATTGTGTTTGTGTGCCTTGATTTAAAACAAGCACTAGTTATACTTGATTAATCGCCTAAATCTCCCGACAGAGAGCGACACATTGTATTTATCTAAACAAACTATTTTATGTGTCGGACCAATCTATTGCATGTACTACTCCATGCTCTAAATCTGCGTAGACTCACAAGACCTTATTATCTTTGCTGTTTTGATTTCATTCTAGTTTATATTGCACTAGCCGTTCCCGTGCGGATTTATTCGCATGATATTATAAAATCTTTATTTCATTGTTTGCATTTGTCAATTTCTCAATTGAAAAAATGTTAAAATTTAAATGCTCATACAATGAAGGCCTTTGACATTGGATACCAATTATCATTACCATAATAAGCTTGCTTCCATAGTGTTGGCAGCTTGTAGCTTATGGCTCCTTTCTCCCATGAAGGCTTTTTTCCAATTTATTTACCACCTAAGTTTAACAATGTAAAAATATATAGCCTATAGCGTGTCGAAGTGTAGGGCTTTTTATAAAAGATATAATTATTAAAAAATACACAGTGATTGCTGACATCCTACGCCACGAAGTAGTGTGTGTTTACGCTTTATTATATTAGTGTAGATTATTATTAAAGAAGACTATTACTTCTGCTTTTGTGACGCAAATTATAACCGTTTGCAGGTGGCAACATCGGCAACAACCAGGCGCTGTCGCATGCTAGAGTGCAGGTCATCACCAACGACGTGTGCCGCCGCACCTTCGGCAACACCGTCCGATCCTCCACACTCTGCATCAGCGGCGCCAACCGCGTCAGCACCTGCAACGGAGACTCCGGCGGCCCTCTCACCACCGACGACAGGAGAACACTGGTCTGTGTTACATATAATAAGAAACAATCCCAGCTTTAACCCGAGGCCAAGAACCTTATCATCCTTTGATAATACGACTTAAAGTTTAGAATTAACAGTGGTAGAGCCCTCAACATCTCAAACTATAAGGCTCGTCCAATACCACAACCACACACAAGACTAGCGTGAAGTGAAAGCAATTCCGCGTACAGTTTAAGGAGTGTGGTGCCGGATGCCTAATTAAAGTCTTTATCCTTACTTTTGAGGAAAGGATGTAAAAGTAAATTGAATTTGACTGTAGAGGAGACGCATACGAAGGGGAAATATCCTCTTTATGTGCGTCTCCTCCATCGATTAAGGGTAGTCAGCTGCAATAGCGGATGTCTACCGGCGGTTGCTATGCCATTTCGGGGGTTTCATGAGGCCGCTTGCTCATTTGGCACTTTATAATCTAAGAAAGTTTCTCACAATATTTTAACAATGTTCTCGTCTGACAGATCGGCGTGACGTCATTCGGCTCGATCCGCGGCTGCCAACACAACCTACCCGCCGGCTTCGCTCGCGTCACCTCCTTCCACTCCTGGATCCGCGCCCGCATTTGAATTGTTACTCTTTACATCTGATTAATCAAAATTTAAATAAAAGATACTTTAAATAAAATATACTTATTATTTACCCTTTATATTAAAACACGAATCTTGCCATCATAATCGATTTTCAAGATCGTTGCATCTTATACCACACTAGTTCCACTCGTCCTTCTAGTAAAGACGAACTTTGTACGCGTAGTGTCCCAAACTTTTAAAGCGTAAACATTTTAAAATACGGTAAAGAGTTAACACACACTTCTTGTAACCTAAGATGTCAGCAATTACAGCATATTTTTGAATAATTCTTACTTTAATAAAAAGCCCTACACTTACGTCACGCTTTAGGCTATATATTTTCAAGCCATTAAACTTAGAGTGTAATGATTTTGGATAAGAACCCTAATGTGGGAAAGAGACCATAAGTTGCTGCCAACGTCAAGGAAGAAAAATTGTCATCATATCATGTTATTTTGACATTTGTAAGTGATAATTTGACCAATGTAAACAATAAAATAAAATTTTCATTATTTCATGCGGGTGAAGTCGCACGGGAGCAGCTAGTTTTTGAATAATTCTTTCATTAATAAAAAGCCCTACACTTAAGACACGCTTTAGGCTATATATTTTCACGCCATTAATCTTAGTAGGTAAATTGTAAAAAACCATTCATGTGGGAAAAAGACTATAAATTCTGCTAATTATGGTAACGGTAATGTTGTCATCTTCAATTGATAATTCCACAAATGTTAACATTAAAACAAAAAACCATTAATTTTTTTTTAATTTCATGCGGATGAAGCCGTACGGGAATAGCTAGTCAGTTACTAAAGGTGACGTTAACGGAGTTTTAAAAGACTTGATACTAAGAAAGGAGCCGGTTTCGACGGGATTCCGGCTGTCTTTGTCAACGGTACCAATGCGTTGGCTTCGTCTCTGTGATTTCAGTGTACACGGCAGTGCTCCCGCCTAGGCGAGCTCAGCCGAACACTTCTCGAAGCGCTTCGGACCTTTGACCCCCTTATAACTTTGTTGTGGATAAAGATAGAAGGTTGAAATTTTGAACATGTATAAAAAAACAAGAATTGTTTATATTAGAAAAATTTCTTTTAATTATATCTTGTAGTTTACAAATTATAGCTCGTTTAAATATTTACTTTTATATACAAATGTGTGTTAAATTGAAACTGTTGGCGTCGTTTTTGCCGTGCACTAACAGATGGCGCTGTGGCGAGACCGCGTTGTATTAACACACGATGTTGAGAAGAATGTCTCGCCACACATATACTTTCCGGGTCCCCGAGACTCTTTGGTGTTTTGGTAGTAGTTCTCTACGTTTTCATTGTTGTTGGTGTTTTGTATTTTCCGTTCGTTCGTTTACTTGTTCAATATTTGAACAAAGTTTTGTAGGAAACAAACAGAAACCAATATAAGAACGCCGCAAATAGCGTGTGGTTTTTAATTCATTTTGTCAACAAAAAAGTGGTTATTGCAAGAAAACCGTTAAAGATAGATATCGCTATTGCTGACTTTTCTGTAGAACTTTTTGAGATCTAAGATTCTTTCATACATCATTTTTATATACCTCTAACGGTTTAGGCAGCGTAATACAAGAAAAGTTAATGTTTAGTGAATTTTTAACGCCGCCGTCCAGAAACCCGCTGTTTATTAATAGATCCTAAACATTAGTAATAATAAAATGTAGCTTATGTTATTCACAGATAAATTACCTTTCTAATGATGAAAGAATTTTTAAAATCGGCTCAGTAGTTTTTGCGTGAATCAAATATATACAAAAATACAAATCTTTCCTCTTTATAATATGAATATGAAGTCTTTCGACTAACATCAGGTAATATTGGGTGATTTATGACATTTTCTTGTAGGCGTGGTACTTAGGTATTTCAACAAAATAGTTGTCTTGATAGTTGAAATTGAATTGACGTCCACCGAACACATGGTCGCGCGCGCATTCCGTCGCGACTCAAATGGAACTGACTCAAATGACAAAATGGCCGCCCTACCAGTGCTCGGTGTTCGCCATGGGCATAGAGTAAGCCTACAAATATATTAATGTAGGATAAGGAGGTTATAAGAAGTTATAAAGAGGTTAAATATGTTTCTTTTTAATATGTTTTCTTTTTAATTGATTTCGAATTTTATATTTTGACGTTCGTTTAAAATTAGTTTTAAGTTGAGAGTCAGAGAAAAAAGAGGAACGACGATATAATAAGATGTGTTTTTTTGGAAAATGGTGTAAATATTAAAAACAGCGATAGTTAACGAGTTTATTTTTATTTGATCGAGCCACAACCCCACATTAATATAAGTTTTGTATTCTTTTTTGGTGGGTCGCACGAACGCACAAATGTCCATTCATTTATATATCTAAACTTTGACATTTATAATCTTAGTAAAGTAATAAGATTACTAAGATAGTAAAAACCGGTAAGGAATTATTAGCCAGGTCCGCGAGGTAACGGTTACGCCTATCGTTTGTATTCGTCATATCTTATAAAATAATAGTCAGATTTGTAAAAGACAATTTCAATCAAAGTTAAATTCTGTAGATAATTACATTTTTTAGATACCATCAAGTAAAAACAAATTACGTGCGAAATTAATATTTTTGTCATATATTGTACTTGTATTATAAAGAGGGTACTTTTGTATGTATTGTAATAATTAAAAAACTACGGGGCCGATTTCAAAAATTCTTTACCATTCAAAAGCTATATTCTCAGTAACATATGTTAAGTAACATTTTCATGTAAATTCACTAGAAAAGGCAAATAGACCGATGCCCATAGACATCCGCAATTGCAGATGCGATGCCCTTAATTGACAAAGGAAGGTATGCACATAAAGAGGATATTTCCTCTTTGCGTCCTATCACCCTCATCAAGTCCTATCCCTTTAAAAAAAGGATGGAAAGAGAAAGGGACTTAAATCAGGCCTCCGGTACTCACACGCACAAGACATGTGGAAAGAAAAAAACAAAATAAGTAGTCTATGTGTTCCAGACTATCCTCTACATCTATACAAAATTTCACCGAGATCCGTTCAGCAGTTTAGGCTACAAACTCTAACTAACATCCATCTAAACTTTCGCATTTATAATATCAGTATGATTATTAAAAAATATGCTGTGATTACTGACACCTTATATAATTAATTATTGTGTTTACGCTTTATTATATTAATATAGATTAAGATCTGATAATTACTTGGATAACAATTGTACAATCAGGACACTTCTCAGTGTTTTATATAAAAAAAGTTTTCTTCCTTGCAATGAGATAAAACTCGCCTTTTCTTACTACTCATTATGCGCAAACAACAGGTAAATAATAAATAGCAATTAGCCATATACGGCAATGCTTCTTCTCTTTTTTGTACACATTTAAGGCGTCGGTTTATTGGTTACTGTACCGCATCGTAATTTATGTAATTCAGACTATCGAGAAAGTTCTGGAATAAAATGACAAATGAATAACGAAAAGAAGATCGAAATTCGGGGTATATAAGGGGAGTCAGTCGTGACTCGGGGGGTGATACGGTGGAAAGTGAATTGTGAAGAAGAAGTCCTGAGCGAATTACGAGGAAGATTAAGTGACCGCGGAGTGAAAGTGCTAGTGAATAGTGACAGTGGTGTTCTGTAAAGTGCGCTGTGTTAGTGATTCAGTGTTTGCGTGCATCGTGTAGTCTTGACGGACGATTTGTGAGTGCAGTGAATCCCTGTTCTTTAAGTCGCCAATAAATTAACGCAGAAAATTTCAAGGCATTTTGACTCTACCCCTCACGCTCGTAACACTATGAAACGCGTATTAGTCTCGCTTTGATTTCTATAAGCTTATATGGCGGTACACTACTCGATGTTTAGTTCTGTAACTAAACGTTTGAAGGCTGCAAAACAATCGACAATCGCACAACTGATGTGCGATTGTTTATTCAGCACACGAATTTAGAGCAATTTAAGCATACTTATAATACTAAAAGTCAATGTACATTACATAAAAGTTACTATCCTCTCAATTGTCAATTAATATGGTAAAAATGTAGAAACCCTTACGTAGAAATATCACTGCATACTTAGGCTGACACCGACTTCAAAGTAATAATAATAATACAATATAGACATAACAGCTATAAGGGAGGTTTATTATTTCGTTACTTTTTACTGTATAGTTTTTTTTTTAAATAATTTGTTTTTTATTATTTAACTAGATGAAAGGTGCCTTAATGTACTTACGCCGGCGTCGGCGTGTACCAAGTAAATAATACGATATAAATAAAATTTATCTTGTGATGAGCGATAAATTAATTAAGAATTATCTTCAAAAGCGTTAATCCGATTTGAGACACTATCATAACAAATTACAATAATCGTTATCTTGCATTATAAAAACTACGACTGGACCTGAATTGTGCAAATCAAGTCAAGTCAACATGAAGCTGGCTCTGGTCGCCCTGTCCTGTCTGCTGTTGGCCGCCAACGCTCGCGTCCTCGACCAGTACGAGGAAATCGAGCTCGACTACCACGAGAATGTAGGCATCCCCAGGGCGGAAGCCATCCGCCAGGCGGAGCTCGCCGCGGACTTCGATGGCAGCAGGATTGTGGGCGGCTCCACCGTCAGCCGACTCGGGGAATGGCCCTTCATGGTGAGTTCTAGATGCTATTATCACGGACTGTCAAAGGGAACGATACATAAAGATTTTCATCTTGACTAGAGTAGCATATGTTTAGCTAATTTAAGACTAGAAGAAGTAAGTTTGACGTCTCTATCGCTAGACGAAGATTTTGTAACAAGCAATCGTTAGTAAAACCAATCAGGCTGAACATCGTTTATGAGACTGAAATTATTGCTTTTGTCTGTAGGGTATATGTTTCGTTACAGGGTGGTCTCGTCATCGCGCTGACTGATGGGCGACAATCCGCGTGCGGGTCCTCCTTGCTGTCTGGGACCAAACTGGTAACCGCCGCTCACTGCTGGCGTACGCGCGGCGCCCAGGCACGTCAGTTCACCGTCGTGCTCGGCTCTCTGCGCCTCTTCTCCGGCGGCACCCGCATTAACACCAACCGCGTCGAGATGCACGGCAGCTACAATATGGACACCCTTGTCAATGACATCGCCATTATTACCATCAACAGAGTCAACCTTAACAGTAAGTGTATACGTTCACAAATGATCTATTGATCACACATGTACAAATGTTACAATATACACATTATTGTGTGTACAACGCCTTCAACTAAAGTATCTTAGACATCCAACTGAAGACGTGTTATTTCATACCGAAATGTGTTACAGACAATATCAACGTAATCGCCATCGCTTCTGGCAGTAACAGCTACGCCGGCGCCTGGGCGCGCGCCGCTGGCTTCGGACTGACCAGAGACGGTAAGAAATTCCTTCATAGGGAACAGAGTCACGTCACTTCAGATGTCACCACATTACCAGAAGTTGACGGATGTTAAATACTGAATCCTGCTCGTCGTGTTTTTTCCCCCGAAGTCTTTACTACAAATGGTTGTCGTTTGCAGGAGGCAGCATCGGCAACAACCAAGCGCTGTCTCACGCCCGCGTTCAGGTTATCACCAACGACGTGTGCCGCCGCACCTTCGGTAACACCATCCAGTCCTCCACGCTCTGCATCAGCGGCGCCAACCGCGTCAGCACCTGCAGCGGAGACTCCGGCGGTCCTCTCACCACCGACGACAGGAGAACACTGGTCAGTGTTAAATATATACAGAGACTGCTAATTTAGCACAATAGTCACAATACGCTTATAAATAATACGCTTTCGTCCGCGACTCCGCCCGCGTGGAAATTAAAAAAATGCAAAAATGAGTGGACTATGTGTTCTTCCAGAGTATGCTCTACGTTTATGCCAAATTTCATCGAGATCTGTTCAGCCGTTTTGGCTGCAAACTCAAACATCCATCTAAACTTTCGTATTTGTAATATTAGTAACATATGCGATTTTGCTTTCTGTAAATGCAACCATGGTAATAACAATGTTCTCATTTGATAGATCGGTGTGACGTCATTCGGTTCGATCCGCGGCTGCCAACATAACTTGCCCGCCGGCTTCGCTCGCGTCACCTCCTTCAACTCCTGGATCCGCGCCCGCATGTAACCTGCCTTCTACACTAGCGCTGATGTGATGATATACAATTGACTTAAATATACGATACTTTGATTATATTAATTGTTTATAATTTTACCTTTAATTTAACTAGCTATTGCTCGCGACTCCTACCCCGTTGCATTAAAAAAAACAAAACCGACTTCCAAACAAAATACACTAAAAAAAATATTCTCAAAAAAACAGTACACTAAAAAGTAACGAAATAATTCCTTGAAAATAGTAAACCTACCTTATTGTAGCTGTTATGTCTATATTGTACAATTATTATTACTTTGATGTCGGTGTCAGCCAAGGTATGCAGTGATATGTCTACGTAAGGGTTTCCACATTTTTACTATAACAACTAACAATTGTAAGTATAGTAACGTTTAAGTAATGAATCTAAATTGACTGACACTGACTTCAAAGTAATAATAATTGTACAATATAGACATAACAGTTACAATAAGGGAGGTTTACTATTTTCAAGGAATTATTACGTTACTTTTAAGTGTACTATTTTTTTTTTGAGAATATTTCGTTTTTAGTGTATTTTGTTTGGAAGTCGGTTTTGTTTTGTTATTAAAAATTTTATTTATTTCTCGATTTTTATTGAATCTAAACATCGCAGAATGATAATCACTACCATTCAAACAAAGAATGAGTAATCTAAATCGATTATATAAGAAATTAAGTAAAGATCTACGAGGTGAATCAAAAAGTTCTTAGAAGTGCATATATATGAAACCTTTTTGGATCAAGTTCGATATTCAAATTAAAGAGTGTCTATCA